CTTTTGGCAACATAATGACTATATACTTTGTTTTAGTTTACCTTTGTTAAAATGTTATCTCTAAGTTTTTGTGAACAAAGCAGTTTCCGAGAGCCGAGTAGTACAGATATCTTTAGTTATTGCCCTTTCCTTACCGTTAAGCATAACAAAATGTCTCGAGTTCGAAGACGTCCAAATTATCACTATGTTAGCGACTTTGACAGGGGAATTATTGGCTATCGAGATATTGGTTTGTCCTATCGCGAAATTGGCCGCCGAGTTAATTGTACTGCAATGACGGTAATGCGTGTGTGTCGTGTGTGAATAGGAGAAGGTAGAGGAACACGATGAAGGCCAACTAGTCCACCGAGACGTACCTCAGACCGTCAAGATATGCGCTTCAGACAACGAGTCTGTTTTGCTACTACGCGTCAGATCGCTGACCAATGGTTTGGGGAAGGTCGTGATTCTGTCTAAGTACGCACCATGGTCGTGGTCGTGGAGAACGGCGTGATATTGGATATGCTGTTGAGAGGCATGTACACAGGACTGTTGGAGTAATGGTTTGGGGCGATATTGCCTATGGTAGCCAATCACCCCTTCTCTTTGTTCAAGGCAATATAACTGCTACGCGTTATTTTAATGATGTCCTACAAACAACTTTACTGCCGTATCTAGAGGGCCATCCACACGTGCTTTTTCAGCAAGACAATTCACGTCCCCGTATTGCTTGTCGTACTACGGACTTTCTTCAAGAAGCAGGCGTTAATGTTTTACCGTGGTCACCCCGTTCACAGGATTTAAGTCCCATCGAACATGTGTGGGATATTATGGGAAGGAGTCTATCCACTTTGCACCATCCGCCACAGACTCTGCCACAGCTAATCCACGAAGTTCGAATTGCTTGGAATTAGGTGCCACAACCTAACGTCGATCATCTCATTTTGTCGATGCCTAGACGTATACAGGAGTGTATTCAGCTGCGGGATCGCCCAACAGATTATTTTTCTTTCTTAACTTGTCAATAAAATTTCGTGAGAATGTTATCACTTCATTCTTGGTGTTGAAGAAATTATTTTTTCTGGGTGTAACACTTCTAATGTATATAATACAACTTGTACCTTCTAGAATTTAAAGAAGTAATGACATTTTCTGTGTTGAGTGCTGTAGCCGACCGTGGTTGCGCTTCGAGGTTAGGTCATGACATCACATAAGTTCGGCTTCTGGGCCCCGGCACTGACACGGCCAGACGACGCGACGGTCCTTGCATATTGCGTTCATCCTCATATTATACAATAAATAAAATGGAGGAAGGTTTTCTGTGTACTATATATACTATAATATGCGAAACATTTATGCTTTGACACGCAGTAGCATATAGAATTAAGCCAACACGCGCCACATTACCAAAATTAGAAAGATTCACAAAAAAATCAGTTTCTACGTGTTCAGGTCGTAGATAACGAATATGATATCGTCAGAGATCAAAATGACGGATTTAATATGGTGTACATCTTTGCAAAAAATGATTTGAGCTCAAATCTTCAAAAATCGAAATAGCGGTTCAAATATGGCAACTATGTTTGCAAAAATGTTTCGGTGTAACGTGTTTTTAAAATTGCTAATAATGAATTAAATATCAATTCTTAAAAAATCTAAATGGCGGATGCAACATGACGGCAATGTTTGAAAAAATGTTTACTCACTACTGTTTTATATATTCTAAATGTATAATTTATGTATTATTGTATAATGTTGCAAAATTACCAAACTTTCAGTCAGCTGCAGCCAAAATTGCCATATTTCTTAACTGGGCGTCTGTCTCTCGTGAAAATTGCTGAAGTTTCAAAGAATCATGGCAGGATATGAATAGGAATTATTACATTAAAGTAGTCATCTCTGGATCAGGAATAACGTCGGAACTTTTGTATTGTGTGATATCCTCGTTTCTGGACTGCTTCTCATAACAATCAATAAACTTTGCATATCTATCTGAGCACCAGATTATTAAGGTATCCATATCATTGACTTCCATGTGGTAGGATGATACCATTCCCCCAAGCAATGTGTTTCAATAACTGATAATATAATTCAGAAATATCATGGCCATTATTATATTATTTTATGATCAGTATTAAGACAACTAATTAACATAAAGAACAGACAGTAGAGTTGTACCTGTCATGAGATAGATGGAATATGGAAGGTACTGAAATTTTTCCCAAAAATAGGCTTGGCCCAGGCAGCCCAGTTCTATCAACAGTATAATCACATCCAAGCAAATAACCAAAATTTCTGTGTTATGTACCGCGGTTATAATATAGTTTAAGTTGACACACGAGTTGATGAAGTCAGTTACTCGAATCGCTTGAACGCGTTGGTTTTAACCGCGGTTTTGTTGTAAGTTGTTTATTTTAGAAAACCGGGTATATAATTTCTGACTATTTTTATTATCACTTGATAATCGGTGCTTTTTCGTCTACATATGACGCCCAAAATTTTAATGGTGGAATGATGGCTTTGTAGCTATGATAACTTTCAATTCTCTAAACTTTTCAGCATGTCAAAGAAAACTAACTGATTTAGCAGAAATGAAAAAGCGATGAAAAAAGATATAAGCAAAACCATATACAAGTGGACATTATCCAGTGAATTTATATAGCCATATTTCAATATTCTTGTGGTATATGGCTACACAGGATACTTTGTTAAGCATAGGAACTAGATTTAAAGTGTCCCCAACAACAGTAATGAGTATAACTAATAAGGTGCTCTACTTTATGCTACAACTAAAGTCAGTCTGTATCAAGTTTCCCAAAAATGAAGCTGAAGTAAAACGAAAATACTCAATACCCGCCAAAATTCTAATAGGTCGTCTACACGGGCCATAATTTTCGGCATTTTGTAGGCGGCATCATATGGCCGGATGATGGCTCGCAACTTGCCAGCCACATTCGGCAATATAACCAAAATATTGCAATATGGCCGAGCAATATATCCTGGCATTTCTTTAGTGCGGCAACACTGGCCGGCAAGTGGCCGAGAGATCGACCGCTTTGCGAATTTTCAGCAACATGGCTCAGCCATCTTTGTATTTGTCTCGCTTCACTTGTTTAGCCGCGCGTCATTCGAGTGTTGTTTTGTGGTGAATTTTCTTAATTTAAAATGACTAATTGGACTAACGAAAATACTTTACATTTAATTAACGCTATACATTTAAGTCCAGAATTGTGGCATGTTGACAATGTTTTGTATAAACATATTTCGATTGCTTCCAACTATCGTACACTGGTGGAATCTTACTGCAGCGAAGATCCTCCCCTGTTTCAATCTGCAGAAACTCTCACAAGACGAAACTAAATGAAAAACACTAGCGAATTTATCTAGCTAGTGTCTTTTATTAAGTTAGCATATCTTTTGTTTCTGATGAAGTAATATAAATAAAAATATTAACTCGCCTGAATAAATTCTTTTAATCCTATCACCAGTGCTCTGCATACTTCTGCGATTATTTATCAGTGAAATAGCTGAATCAGACACCCTAAATAAATACATCAAACTTTTGAAGCTCTCACCAGTTGCCAAGTATCTTAGTGTTATAGCTAGTCTTGTCGTAGTTGATATCGCTGTTCGCATGTTGGTATCCTGCTTTCGAATATTCGGTCCAATTCGATTTAGTAAAAATTCAAAATCCGTTTTATCCATTCTCGTAAAGTTTTTGAATAAATAATTGTCGAGAGATAACTCTTCACTTAGATTTTGTAAAGTAAGCCTTTTACTTATAAGGCCTAACCCACAACTTTTTTCTTTTTTTAGTGTTCGGTTTCTTTTTAACACAATAATAGCAGCCGCAATAAGCACTAGATCATCCATGGTGATAAAGCAACTATTTGTGTGAATGTTGTCTAGTGTAAATGCAAATTTGCTATGGCCATATGTTGCAGAACGATGTCCGGACATACTCGTCCAGAATGTGGCCTGGCAATATGTAAAAATTCAGTTGCTGGGCCATGCTGCCCGGCTACATAACCCGGCAATGTTTTCAAAAATCTGCATTTTCTATGGACCGTGTAGACGACCTATTACTTGTCACATTTCAAATAATAACCAGAAATATAAAACTACTCTGGAGTTGGGTAAATACCACAATTTTATGGTGTAACTATGACATATAACAGCTGATTGATGACATCACAGATCTTATAACTAAACTGATAACCACACTCGCTTGAACAGATCGGTAAATACCAATCCAAAATGGTAAATACCATTTTCATTTGGTTATTCCCTTGAATTTGATTAATCTCGTCAAGGAGGGACCACACCCCTGTTTTTACATTACCAAGTAGGTGGCTTTGAAATTATCCTGACATTGAAGCCCTCATTAAGCTGTTTTAACTTCTTAATAAATGAGAAAAGGTGCAGGGTAGTAACCCATACAGTTGTAAGGTGGGATTGTTTATCATTCTACTTATTATCTTAAAGAATAATGTTTTGGGTTATCAATTTTTTTCCATGGAAGGTCATGTAAATAAATGGAAATGGCAATGCTGACTTAGTACTGGTTATTCAGCGGTGTGGGCTTTGGTAAAGCAAGGGACTTAGAGTAGAGACTCATGTTAAGTTTCACACCTAAGAAGAAAGTAGCCAATGTCACCATATGCCCTGTGATTCTTGACTTGTGTATTACTGATAACAATATGCTGGTTAAGCAAAATATAAAGTACACAAGTCGAAGCAAACTTATCCATAATTCAGTCACAGATTTTTCTTTATAGTCACTAAAGACAACAGCATTATTATGCTGTTATCTCTTACATACATCAATATGATCAAGTATGCAAAGCATTTCAAAGATTTGTCCACGCAAAAGAATGCAAGATTTATGGTCATTCTTGATGAGACTTTCACCTATTAATGAGATATCAACTATCAGTAAGCAACAGGTGCTTTGATGGTTAAATACTCTGCCTGTACATGTATAGGCTTGGGAAGTCAGAGCAAAATAATTCAGTACTCACCTGTTTCGGCATTTTTGCTAGCTTGCGGCACGTTCAATTCCTGAAAGAAAATGGTAATTATATTGCTGAAACTGTTTGCATTAGGTGATATACAGACAGATAACCTAGGTATACCACAGAAAAAGCGCATACCCGGTAAACTAATTTTAAGATTCCCAATATTTGTAGTTCAATGGATTACTCATGATTAAGATTACTAGCTGGGGCACTAGGGTGGCAAATGTCTTCAGTTCATACTTTCTAGGCCGCCTTTGATTTGATGAGAATGTTTTGGGAAACTGACGTGTAGTTGCTAATCGAATTAGGCAAAGGTGCTTTCAAAAAGCGGTAAATAAACACAACTAATCATCCTTTTTACTCAGTGAAAACGCGAGTGTAGTACCATTAAATGAAGAAGGAAAAGCGTATAATAGATGACCACAGGTAGACAAGACACCTGCTTGGTGCCGGTTTTGTCGCGGGTTTATGGTGCAGAGCAACGCAAATGTGTACTTACCGGAATTCTGGGATAGATCAAGAAGGTTTTCTTAGTTTCATCCACCACATCAAGCAACACAAGCGGTTTTATTTTATTCGGGCACACACCCTTTCCACGCACGAGACGATAACTTTAACGTGACAAATTGTCAAGATTCAGCAATCTACGTTTTGTTAGTATGCATTTTCACCGTCAGAGGTATCAAAATTGAACTTATTGACGAGGCTGCCACCTATTGGGGGTACTGAGCACATATGATAAAATGGCATGGCAGCTTCTGCACACGGTAACAAGGGACAAAAAATTTGAGTTGTTATGGCAATGCTGCATTCACATCATGTTCACATTTACTCCCAAGGACCTAAGGCACGCACAAAATGCACACCACTCGTTCACTATTCAAGACTGTTGATAATCGGCGTTCGCATTGCATTTAACGCCCGGGCAAATTTTTGTCCATTTGACACCTCAATAGGGAGATGGATGTAATTTGCACATGTGCAGTAGATTAATCAATGTCCATTGTTTTATTTACTCAAATACCCATATTTGAAATATGTTAGTATTGCCTTCTGGCTCTTTTGAAATGAAGATTTTTGAAATGTCGACCTATTGCGCTTTCACCGTCAAAGGTGCCATTAAACGAAATTTTGGATGATAACACCGCTACCTACCGGGTATGTTGTATAATAGAAACACACACATATGGTGAAATTGCATAGCGGTTTCTATGCGCAAATAAAGGTAGCAGGGGCCATCTATCGGCCAAATAATGCAACCAGATATATAGTGCTGCCATCTTCAAGATAATAAATCAAGTTATCAATAAAAATATTGCAGGATCGGCCTCAGGTTTTCTCTATATTCAGACAACCTAATCTCAGTTGCTAAAGATCTGCATTTTTTCGCCCATTATTTTAATTGTTTTCTCAAGATGTTTTGTGATATATTTTTTCAGGATAATTAACTTACAAACTAGCACTCATTTGTTTTGGCGCCTAGATCATATTTATGTGCACACGCCGTGTAGAATGCCTAGTTCAAAGGTAATAGGACTCGCTCCAGAATCGGAAACATTCTTCGCTGTTTTGTATCATAGCTCTCCAAAACCAAAGCGGAAAGTTCTCAATAGCTACGCATATTCGCACCGCATACGATTGGCAGCATATCGTTTTCGCTGTGGCAAATAATTCAAACTAGCGCGGTTTTCTTTGTTTTGACTGCGATTCAGAGGCGGTTTTGCAATAATTTCGCAACTTCATAAAGTGAAAAATAATTGGAATGAGGAAAATAATTGAATTAGTTTGAAAGTATCCTATATTATATAAAGAGAAATCCAAATGTTACTGGCGAGGTTATTGTGCATGAAATGGAAGCGTGCAATAGGTATGAGAAAGAGTGCGCCGATGGCACATAACTATAATCACGCCAAAACCAATACATTCACCCAAAATTACGAAAACGACCCACCACCATGTCATATTAGTGTGATACACCAAATGCATCATACCACTCAAATAGCAAAATAAAATATACTTCCTGGAATTTCCCATATCCTCAATATTTAATGATGGCGTTGTTATGAAAAAATTAATTGTAATGTAAATATTTACTTCATACTTCAATATAAAATTGTACAATGCCCGGAAATACGATCAATGAAGAAGACCGATAGCTTGTGCTAAATTTATTAGAGTATTTCCAGGAAGAGAATGAAAACAAAGGTCCCCTGTTACCCACTTCATGCGTACTGGAGAGAGTAGCAGATACGCTGAGGATTAGTCTGCGCAGTGTTCCGTCCATGGTACGGAGACTTGATCTGTTTACTTATTTCATATGGCGTTGATGACGTAACCGCCAAGGACGGTGACTAGAATTATAACAATGTTTGGCTCTGATGTGATATAAAAACTGCTTCAGAGAAGGCATTACAAAGTTGTATAATATAGCTAGAAGGAAATGGCAGTGCATAGGTGCATAGTGAGAATTAGTGTGCTAATAATATGTGTTGATTATAATTCCATTGGTCTCTTGTCTCAAATGCACTTACCCGAAACTCAAAGCTTGAAATTAGTTGCGCATCCACTTTTTCTTATTCATTCTGGAAATTACTTATGCAAATTTGCTGAATTTCAAAAATGAGAAAGATAAGAAAAAATCCTTGGTTCGTGAAGGAACACGTGAGAAAATATGCTACAGACAGGAATTTTTATGAAAGTGAAAAGGTTATTACATTATTTTTTATTTCCAGTAATTTAAATTTCACAGTAATTTATTTTGCGATGTCAATAGAAAATATAAATCAGCGCCTTGATGTGAGGCACTACGAAAATGGTTGAAATGTGATGCGTCTTTCCTAATTTTTCTGTGATGTGGCTTAATTGCACACAACGTGGGCGCGATTTCCCGTAATGCTCCTCAGTTTATGAAAACATAGAAAAACGGAAAAATCTTAATTTATAACTTTGAAAGAAAGGACAACATTTAATTAACCCGTCGGGCACTGCTAATAGATATAGTTCATTGGCAGCATATTCAGTAATAATTTTCTCACACGCGCGTTTCTCTCTCGTACACATTACGACGCCAGTGGTTTATGGATTTCTCGGTATAACCTTTCCCCATGAAGACTATAAAAATGTTCGCAAAAAGAATAAGATTTGGACTAAAATAGGAGAAGAACTAGCCGAGAATGTTAAGTGAAACTCATTCCATTATTTATTTAAGAAAATAATAATCACAGGCATTTTAGTAAAAATTCTAACAATAATATAATCAAATTCAAGCAGATAACCAAATGAAAATGGTATTTACCATTTTGGACTGGTATTTACCGATCCGTTCAAGCGAGTGGTTATAAGATCCGTGACGTCACGAATCAGCTGTAATATGTCATAGTTATCACCGCTAAATTGTGGTATTTACCCAACTCAGGAGTAGTTTTATATTTCTGGTTATTATTTGACATGTGACAAGTTAGAATTTTGCCGGGTATTGGATATTTTTATTGTACTTCAGCTTCATTTTTGGGAAACTTGATACAGGATGACTTCAGTTTTTGCATAAAGTAGAACACCTTATAAGTTATAATCATTACTGTTGTTGGGGAAACTTTAACTCTAGTTCCTATGCTTAACAAAGTATCCTGTGTAGCCATATACCACAAGAACATTAAAATATGGCCATATAAACTCACTGGATGCGATTCTGATAATATCTCTTTTTAATCGCTTTTTCCTACCATTTCTGCTAAATCAATAAATGTTTTCTTTGACATACGAAAAAGTTTAGAGAATTGAAAGTTATCATAGCTACAAAGCCATGGCTCCATCATTAAACATTTTTTTCTGAAAAAAAAAAGATTTCTCCCATTAATATTATGAAAGGTTTCTTTTTTAAACTTTCCATACACCGTTATAGACGAAAAAGCACCGATTATTAAGTGATAATAAAAATAATCAGAAGTTATATACGAGCTTCTCTAAAATAAACAACTTGTAACAAAACCGTGGTTAAAACCAACCCGTTCAAGCGATTCGAGTAACTGACGTCATCAACCCGTGTGTCATCTTGACCCATACTATAACCGCGATACATAACAGATAAATTTTGGTTATTCGCTTGGATTTGATTTATATGTATTACATATTAATAATAGACAGCTTTATTTTATCCTCAGCAAGGTTCCACTTAACTGAAAGCCTGAATCAATAGATAGGTATATAATAACAAACTTCATCGGAATAAAGAAAGATGAATGAAAAAAGTACAAAATGTTAAAACAGATCACAATAAGATGGAACCATGGTTTTGTGTAGCTATGATAACTTTCAATTCTCTAAGGTTTTCCGCATGTCAAAGAAAACAGTTATTGATTTAGCAGAAATGGTAGGAAAAAGCGATGAAAAAAAGTTATTAGCAGAATCGCATGCAGGTGGACATCATCCAGTGAGTTTATATGGCCATATTTTAATGTTCTTGTGGTATATGGCTACACAGGATGCTTTGTTAAGCATATGAACAAGAAGAACATTATTAGCAGCGCGCCTGTTAAGAACCCTTTAGAAATAAAAAAAGTGAAAAAGCTGAGAAGGATTTGAATAAAAAGTCAAGAATGGAAAAAAAATGAACAGAGAAATAAAAAATACCAAAGAAAAAGAAAGAATTGGAAAATAATATATATAATTTCTTCAATATCTTTGGTCTCTGAGCAAGCTGGCCCTAGTGGTCTTAATATCCACATTGCGGTTGATGAAAATGACTGAAAAATTTGTATGCCCAGCTTGTAATCAAATTATGATGATCAGCCAACTGAACATTGGATACAGTGTTCATCCTATCGAAGGTGGTGGCAGGAAGATTGTTCTTCATATGATACTGGCGACTGTTGCTGCGGTTATTGCATTTAGTCATCTTATCCCAAAACTCTCGCTATCTTACCCGCAACATGGAGTAAGATGACTAAAATGACTTTTTCTACTTTCGACGTTTTTTACAAAAACTGTTTGTTTTTTAGTACTCTACTTGATTTAGTTGATTAGAATATATATTTCTTATTTTGTGTATTCATTTCCAAGATTTAAAATAAATGGTTTCGTTATCTGATCATGTGTTTCTCAGTATCGTCATCTTACCCCAGATTCCCGTACACAAGTGTTTTGGAGAGATTGAAAAACATGGGCCATACATCACCGTAATTTATGAAACTTAATACTAAACTAATGCAGAGCGGTTTACTTTGATTTTTATCTAGGAAGTTCCTACTGCAATATAAACTTTTTGTATTATGACATGCTTTACTAAAATGCAATTCATTATTCATAGTTCCTAACTTTTATCTTCTTTAGAAGCTTGTATACGTGATCCATTTACTATGAGATTATATACAAGTTCAGGACATTAAGATGTGGTTCAAAAATATGTATTTGTGTCTTGTCAGAAATTAATTTCAAGCCATGCACGTAGAATAGTTTATACTATTAATACAATTTTGCAGTTTTTCTTGAGCAACATATTGTTGGATTTCACATCCATTTTTAGCAGATCATTCAGATCAAATGTGTACAATACATATTCTTTCAATTATCACAAAAAATCTTATTATACTCCCCAATTAAAAAACGTAACAAATTGTTCTCGTACAAAAAGTGCCAATTTTAGTGTACCCCTTGGATCATTTTATACATTTTGAAAAACTCCAAGTTCAGGTTCTCCTGGATGTAAAAGTTCGATAAATCAAACATCACATCATCATTCATTCACGTTATTTTTAGACTAGCGTTCTACTTTTTCTTTACTGAAAATACAACGTAAATAATGCGATTATATTTGCTCTTGGAGACTTGCACTTATCTAACTACTTCCCTGGTGCATGTTGAAGGATTTTCTTCTCAAAGATTCAATATTCCTTCGTCAATTTGCACCATGCGGGGTTGTCAAAGTCTCCCAGTATGCCCACCTCGATATTACCGCGAACGGCCAGTATCCACCTCTTTGCACAAGGTAAAGCAATTTACGCGGCGCTGAATGATAACGACAAGGAAAGCGATCTGCATTCACTCGCGAAACATCGGTAGCATTTTGAAGACACACACCAATTTCTACTCGTATATTGCTGTGGTATGCCATTTTCGTTTTTCGAACTAATTGCTAAATAAATGTTTTCTCACTTTTGATGTGATTGAGATACAGGAGCGGGACAGGTTTGGTTTAGGATTAATTGATTTTGCGGAGCCTAATATCTCGGTTATCACTTTGGTGTATATGCTACTAGACAAAATAGCAATGCGGAAGCAATAAGAAATGATGAAAGCAGATATTCGAAATTTTTAAAAATGTTGGAACATTTTCAGAAAGTTAAAGCATACAAAAACAAACAAACGGGAGATCTGAATCTCTATTTTAATTTTTACCCATAAAACCGCTGACATTTAAACGATTTTCAAAAATGAAGTAGCATTATCTACTATGACCACACATAGATTTACGAGTTGTAGACATTGCAAAACAAAAAAATAAATACCTTGATTTCTAATATTCACAAAATCTTCACTTTAAATTTTATCATCCATTTCGGATTCTCCGCAGTTCGAGTGGCGCCCTCCTACACATTTTGAGATGGGGCCTCAGACAAGCAAGCTACGCCACTGGTGAAGGATGATGTTTATCCACCTTCTCTGTGATATTGTAATTTTGTACTATACACATGTATTGCATGAAGAACCCAAAAATATATTTTTTTTGCTGAAGTTGTGTAGCTATGACCATATTAGTGTGGCAGATGGACAGATCTTGTATCTCATGCTCATTTTTTCATAATAAAACAATACATGAAATTAAAGAATATAATTTACAAATATAATATGCAGTCTTAATAATATTTTATTTATCTGTCAAAACTTTTACAAATGGTTGGTTTGCAAACCATGCCTCCTCAGCGAACTTTTGTCTGTAAATTGCTTCTCACAATGTCTACACTTGAATTGCTTGCCAGTGTGTGTTACCAAATGCCTGCTGAGCCCTGAGGCATGACAAAATACCTTTGGACAAACAGAGCAGTAGTGCAGCTGGATATCTTCTGATCCTATAGATGAATGTGTCCTCATATGAACCCTGAAAAAAAAACAATAAATAAGTGTCTTGCAAAGATAAAACAGATACACACAACATGCCTGCCATTCAATGATGCAAAATGTGCTTTTTCCTGAAATGTTTATTGGAATATCTTGCATATTTTAACCTTTTTGTATTCTACTTTTTATAATCTATTTTATCAGCTTCGAACAAGCCTAAATTAGAATTGGCTTCAAAGGCTGCACACATTTACTTGTATAATTACTAAGAGTTACCGTTCAAACAAAAAAATCAAAATCGTTTCATTGCTTTGGCAGCTATGTGACGCTACCTACAACATGAACATGTTAAACTTGTAATGAGTTTTATTTCGAAGAGGTATCAATATTTTGCCCCCAAAACGTATACTCTGAGTATTTTCGCTTTGGGAAGTGGCAAAACTTACCCTCCGAATTTTAAACGCATAATAACATAATAAATCCTAGCCTGACATAGTAAGTTGCGGTTCGCCGTTTCTTAGAAACGGACCTAATCTATTTTTCACGATACTTCCACGTTTGACGTTTCCACGTCTATTAAGGCAAACAGCTGATCAGCAAATGACATATTCACATTAAAGTATGTACTGTTGGTAATCACGATCCTCGTGAAACTCGGAACCATTTAGACCAAACACTTCTCTAAATAAAAACGTTGCTAGAAAGTACGAATCCATACCATACAAAAAACATAACAAAATACTTCTCTGCATATCTGGCGTTGACATTGTTTTGTATGCTCGTCATGTCGCATATAACACTTTATTTTCTTGAAACAACGTTTATTGGGTTTGGACTGGATTTGTATCCAGTATTATTATAATGTATAAGCGATACATTCAACAGGTTAGTAATGTCTTTTTCGCCTCTGGTCGACCGCGCGATCGATTGGTAAATCCGGGAGCCGAAGTGTTGTGTCCAGAGATTCAAGCGTGAGTTTTTTCTTCCTGGTTCACGATTTCACCAACGGGGTAGCCGGGCGAGATGCAACGAAATCGTAGCACCAGAATGTCTGTCTGCACATGCGCACACGCTGGCGTTACTTTGAGTGTACAGGGTGATATCGGCTGATTGTACCGGGATGTACAACATATCGGCGGCCTTGAACTTGAAGTAGATGGGAGGAGGCATAACTTCTGGACAGCTCGAGTTAGGTCTCCGTTTGTAGTTTTGATGGTGACCACCCGTTTCTTGTGGTCACTGCTGGGATGGAGTTGCGTGACTCGTCCGAGTCGCCAGTAGAAAGGTGGCAGGTTATCATAGTTGACTAACACCATGGATCCTATTGCTAGTGACGGAGTTTGTATCGGATTGCAATTTGTGGCGAGTTTGTAATGTTGTGAGGTAGTCCTTTGACCATCGTGACCACAAAAACTGATACTTCTGGTGAATAGCCTGTTAATGGTTGAGTCGATTATCTGGCAGTTCTTGAAAGTTGTCTTGAGGAATGGTTAATAGAGGCTACCAATGAGGAAATGGCCTGGGGTGAGGACATTGAGGTCAGAAGGATCATCGCTTAAAGGTGTGAGTGGACGCGAATTCATTGTCGCCTCAACCCGAGAGAAAAGGGTAGAGAGTTTCTCAAATGTCAAGATACTTTTCCCTATGATGCGAGTGATATGAAATTTTGCTCTCTTGACCGCAGCTTCCCATATACCTTGATGAGGGGATCTTGGAGCGATAAACTTCCAATTGATTGAATTTTCCTTGAGAAAATTAGAAATGGCCGGATCCTGGCTAAAATGTTCAAGACGCTTATAGATTGACTTAAGTTCATTGTTTGATCTACTGAAATTTGTTGCATTATCACTGTGTAATGTATGACATAACCCTCGACGGGAGACAAACCTATAAAGTACGTTTAAAAAGGCTTTACTACTAAGGTCGCTGACTGGTTCTAGATGAACTTTGTCGGGAAACAGATGAACATGCAAAGGTAGGATTTGACAATAGAGCGATTCCGCAATTTCCCATCCTTAGTATTAAATGGACCCGCAAAGTCTGTGCCGGTTATATAAAATGGCCTCAATGGCGAAACACGATCGCGTGGTAAATCAGCCATTTTGAGAAATGGGTCTACCTGTAGGAGCTGAAATTTTTTTGAAATTTGTTTGCTTTGGGTTAGCCGACCAACTTCTTCAGGAAACATTTCATTCTGGGCCAGTTTGACAATGTATGTCATTGACTGAGTAAGCTCCTCGTTTGCTAGAGTGCCGACCTTGCGCTGATCAGGTGACAGTTTTTGATTTTTAAATAATCAGAAACACCAAGAAATTGCTCGCTTGACTTGATGTAATGAAGAAAAAAGATGAAATATCTTTAAAGTGTGAGAGTCACGTGACAAAAATGACTGTGTTTGTTTGAGTTCAGGTAATGACTGAGCTACTGCTGGTCGTGTCGGCCAACTAGTTGATTCTTGCTTGAGAAATGTTGGTCCATTCCACCGTAAGCTTGATTCAATCGTGAATTCAAGTGGAGTGACCCCACGTCATACGAGATCTGCTGGGTTGGAATCGGTTGGAACGTACCGTGATTGATTGATTCCAGTTTTGCGCTGTATTTCAGCTACTCGATTTGCTGTGAAAGCCTTTAACTTACTAGGGCTGGTAGCTACCCAAGCAAGGACGATGGTACTATCCGTCCAATAATAACATTGACTGATATCTCTTCTTAACTCTTGCTTAACCTTTCCACAAAGCTTTGTGGCTAACACTGCTCCACAGAGCTCCAATCGTGGAATGGATAACACCTTCAATGGAGCTACCCGACACTTGGCGCATAACAGATTCACTGATGAATGACCCGCGTTGTTCGTTGTTTTGACATACCTGTAAATACACGCACCATATGTCGCCTGCGAGGCATCAGAGAAACAATGTAATTCAACTGTGATGAATTCATCTAGCAATGTGTGACGTGAAATCTTCAAATTGTTTATTGAGGACAAATTGCACACACAGGTCTGCCAAATATCTAGAAGACGTTTCGGTAAGGGTTCATCCCACTCCAAATTCTGTTGCCAAAGTTGCTGTAAAAGTATTTTAAAAGTGATGATGATTCGAGAAATTAGTCCTAGTGGATCGAAAACTCTGGATATGATTGATAACACCGTTCGTTTCGTAGTGACTTGATGGTTGGGTATCTCTACATCTATCGCATAAGACAACATGTCTTGATAAGCATGCCACACTATGCCGAGTGTGCGCCGCACATCGTCCGCGCAGATGTAATGCGTGTCATGTAGTGAAGTGACGCATATATTGTCGGAGTTGAGAAGTTCTTGCATGTTTGATCTCCATTTCCGTAGGGTTCGAGGAAGTTTGATAAATTTGATTTTAGCTTCATAGCTTCAGTGATACTAGTCGTGCCTGTAATTAGATCATCGACATACATATCCCTTATGATTGTATTGGACGCTTTAGGGTATATGTTTTTGATCAACGGCTGCTTGATTCAGTGCTCTGATTGCCAAAAATGGAGATGCTGAAGAGCCATACGTAACGGTATTTAGGCGATAATGCGATATCTCATCGTCAGAATTGCTACGCCATACGATGCGTTGCAAATCGCGGTGTTCGGGCGCGATTTGCACCCTGCGGTACATCTTTTCCACATCTGCGGTAAGCACGACCTTGTGTTGTCGGAACCGAACCAATATTAAAAACAGATCATCCTGGGTCGTTGGTCCAGTCATGAGAGTGTCTTTGAGGGACAGTCCGCTTGTTAACTTACAAGATCCGTCGAACACTGTTCTCAATTTGGTAGTAACACTGTTGGTGTTCATAACTCCATGATGTGGAAGGTAATATATTGCTGGCGCCTTTGGATCGATGTCTGTCGCGTCGATTTTTGACATATGATTAATTCTTCATATTCGGTCATGAAGTCTATATATCTCTGTTTGAACTGAAGATTCTCTCGAAATTTCCTTTCTACTGTATAGAGCCGCTTGACTGCCATGTCAAGTGTGTCACCAAGATCGCAAATGTCTTCGCGTAATGGTAACTCTTCGACGACATTGCCTGATTCATCGCGTGTAGTTGTAGTGGTGAAAATACGTTCACACTCGACTTCTTCCGGCGTGAAACATTTCGTAGGAGGGCATTCTTCAATTTGCCAAAACCTTTCCAGTTGATATTGTGGCAACTGATCATCACATGATGTTATAACCGCATGACACGAAACGGTTTTTTATGCCTAATGACTTTCATTCAACATTCCTGAAACCGTCCATCCGAATACCGTGTTTTGGAGGGTTGGCTGATTTGGACCTACTAGTAATTGCCTTGTACCATATTTCAAAATTCCAAAAAATACCGTTGCCCCGAGTAGAACATCAATTTCAGACGGAACATTGAAATTATGATCTGATAATTCAATGTTGTTCGGAATATTCAATTTATCTCGGCTGAACGCCACTGTAGGTAGCCATTCGGTGATTTTTTTGAGAACTAAGAAAGTTCTTTACGTATTTGTCGTCAGAAGACTTGATGATTGTAGGTGTGCGTGACGAAATGTTAGTGCTAGCATTTCCTACACCAACCACATGTATACTGATTTTTGAACAAGGTAAGTCCAATTTTCTCTTTAATGATTCGCTGGTGAATTGAATGCAGGATTCGATTCTGAACGTTCATCTGTATGCGTGTTGTGCTTTGCCTTACACACCCTACATCTCTGGGATGCGCACTGCGTTGCCGCATGTCGCTCGCGTAAGCAGTTTGTGCAAACTTTAAGTTTTGCTACCTCCTTGGTACAAGCCGCTACTGGTAAGTGTAGCAACTTATCGCAGCGATAAATGTAATGTTTGTCATTACAAAAAACGCATTTTTTATTTCCAGTTTTGCTGGAATTTGTTGAAACATATGAATACCGTTTGTCAGCATTGTGCTGATTGAACAATTTTTGTTTTGAACCTAGTTGTTTGCTATTAGGCGTATGCTAGCAGCTCTTTCCTGTTTTGCAGCGTGTTCCGTAGTTTCGCAAAGCTTACAACGATCTGTGAGGAATTATAATAACTGATTCAATGTTGGCCTGGAAACCTTTCTGTGGATGAGTGATTCTTCCCATAACGTGAGCGATCTCGAATCAATCTTGCTTGTTATCATGTATATCAAGAGAGTATCCCAAGAGTCTACATTTTCGCCATTCAAGTGTAGCGCGGTATAACTCTTGTTAAAATCATCTATTAGATTCAGCAACGTGTACCTATCTTTTGATACTATAGGTGTCTCGAACAAACACCGTACATGCTTTTTGATTATTCATTGATGTTCTCATACTTTTCTTGCACCAGTTCCCATGCTAATTGATAATTATCACTTGTAAAGTGTATAGACTCTAAGATCTTTGACGCTTCTCCTTCTAAAGAACTAATTAGATAATAGAATTTTCGCCCCTCATCGATTGAATCATCGCTGTGTACAAGTGTGAGATATAAGTCTCGAAACTGCGGCCATTTATCGTAATCGCCGCTGAACTTGATTAGGTCAATGGTCGGAGAAAACCTTTTTCCGCCGCCACTGGCGTGAGAATGAACTTTCGTCTGGTCAATGTCCGCGCGAGGTGCCACCAAAGTCTTTGGTTGCCCTATCAATTGTTTAGCACTGGAAATTGCCTTGAAAAACCTATCTTCAAAGTTTTCACGTTCATCTGTCTCAAGTTCGGACTCATCTAGAACCTCCAAAGATGACTGAACTTTACTAAACTGATCTAGTAATTTTTCAACGTGTTCCAAACGCGATTTTAACATCTCAATTTGAAGGTTTTTATTTCGTTATGAACCTTGTTAACGCCGCTTTGATCTGTCTCCGCTCGATGATCAAGTGTCTGAGACTAGACAATGGTACGTCTTGTAATTTTTTTGATTTACTGATTGGATTACCGATACAATTGATTATTGATACGATTGAAGAAATTCCCCCCGATTCCTCTCAAGGTGAACCAACGCCGAATGTGCGTCTAGTCTTTTTTACAGGATGGTAGGAAAAATGGAAAATAGGAAAGACTTACTGGCCTTGACTGCTGGAGGATGTCTTGTTGTCCTGGATTTTTTCTTGGGTTTTCCTGGTTGCGGTTGTGTTCTGGCGCCTCACCGTCACACATTCACGATTCTTTAAGTTCCGTATCCACAGTTCTAGTCCAAAATCTGCTCGAAAAGGACCATTATGTATGCTCGTCATGTCGCATATAACACTTTATTTTCTTGAAACAACGATTATTGGGTTTGGACTGGATACAAACTTATAATGTATAAGTGACCCATTCAACAGGTTAGTAATGTCTTTTCCACCTCTGGCCGACCGCGCGATCGATTGGTAGATCCGGGAGCCGACGTGTTGTGTCCAGAGATTCAAGCGTGAGTTTTTTCTTCCTTGTTCACGATTTCACCAACGGGGTAGCTGGGCGAGATGCAACGAAATCGTAGCACCAGAATGTCTGGCTGCACATGTGCACAGGGTGGTGTGAATGTTCATGTACAGGGTGATATCGGTTGATTGTACCGGAATGTACAACAGACATCTCCATCAGTTTTGTCACACTCGTCGATATGAGGTATTTTAAAAGTTTCTATACAATCAGCTGTTATTTGTTGTCCTATTTGAACCGCACTAAGACGTACCAGGCCAAGTGCCATACTGTATTTTATGAGTATGTTGGTTTACTGAAATGTTACCTGAGAGGTTCCTTTTGTGAAAATCCTTTGCCACAATGCGGACAAGAATAGGGCCTCTGTCCAGTATGAGTTATAAGGTGCCTGAAGAGGATTTCTTTTTGAGCGAAACTTTTCTGGCATACTTCGCATTGGAACGGTCGTTCGCCTGTATGTATTCGCTCATGTCGTAGCAGAGCTGATCGAGTAGGGAACCACTTTTCACAAATGCCGCAACTAAATCCTGAAATACAAATCCATAATGTTAGATCCATGATTTGTCTTATTTGGCAAACAGTAATAAAAATAACACGGCCGGTTCCTATAAACATGGGTCTTAAAACTCCTCCTACACTGAGATACAATGTAATTAAGTTGTAAAGGGTGTCTCAACAAGAGCGCCGGATTTGAATTTGCCTGACTTGATGACAGCTGTCATGTAAAGACCACGCAATTCGACGTCATGGAGCAGTATTCAAACGAGCAACGTTTAATTATTGTGAAAGCTCACTACAAAAATGGGAAAATTACGCAGAAACAGTTCGCAAATGACGTACAGTTTTCGGTCGCAATAATGCGCCAAATGAGTCGACAGTTCGCCGTTTAATTACAAAATTCACGTTGCTGAATGTAAAGACCACTGTTCGTTGAAGTGTGGCCGAGAATCCAGGCACTACCATTCGGCATCGTGGCCAAGAACTGAACCTTATCTGACCCACTCTGCAACGAATTTTGACAAAAAATCTGTGCTTGCATGCGTAAAAGGTTCAACTGACGCAAGAACTCAAGCCAACGGACCATGCGCAGCGCCGTGAATTCGTTGATTGGGCGCTGGAGCACCATCAAATTGATGCGGATTTCTCGAAGAAAATCATTTTCTCTGATGAGGCACATTTTTAACTGAACGGGCACGTCAATAAGCAGAACTGCCGAATTTGGGGTTCTGAAATCTCTCGTGTAATAATCGAACAAAAAATGCATCCGCCGCGAGTTACCGTTTGATGCGCATTGTGGAGTGGCTGAGTGATTGGACCGTATTTATTGGAAAAGGCAGCTGGAACTGCGGTAACTGTTAATGATATGAGGTATCGCGAAGTTTTTGTGGCCCCAGTTGGATCGAAGTGATGTGGAGGATATGTTCTTTCAACAAGACGATGCGACCTGCCACACAGCACGCGAAACAATGGTGTTACTGCGGACCAAGTTTCCAGACCGTGTCATCTCTCGGCAGTGTTGCCAGGTGGAGTCGACGATATTTCGGTAGAATTGTATGGAATTTTTCAGTAGTTTTTCGGTAGATTGAATGCCGAAGAGTAAATGAAGGCTTAAAACGTAAAACAATTTTATTTAACTCAAAATATAATCTAAAACAAAAAAACAAAACAAAAATAAACAGTTTATATTTCACTTTAGATAACCAAAGATAAAATATTCTTAATAAAAAACAGAAAAAGTGTATAAAATAAAAAATGTGTAAGCTATATTGGATAATAATTCTTCCGATTCATTTTTGTATAAGTTTTTATCAGTCATATTATCTACTAATTTTGTTTTGCCAAATGGTCCATCAGTAGGAATGGCAAATTATGCTCGGCCAAAAATACACTCAAACGAATTTCTCCTGGAAATAATAAAATAATCTATATAATCTCAATCTTCTCAAATAGATTAATTAATTTTACCTTCTTTAATATCATTTTCTAATTTCTTTGATGCACCTGCAACTACAAAAGACAACAGTTTTGGCTGTTCTACTATGGTTTGCACTTTTCTAAGAAATTGCCCATTTGCGTGTTTTATAAGTGCATCTCTCCCACTTTTGATATCAATATCTTTATCAAAGGCCCATGCATTTCGCATAATCGGCCCTTTATTGCTTTTTTAAGACAGCCTTGGAAATCTGGCAATTCTTCCCAGTCTTCCTTATAATGTTGGGCACACACACGCGAAAAAAAAAAATGACTGCAAGCCAGGCAATACTAATACTGGCCGAATTCGGAATTAATAAGTACACGAAATCATACAAATCAGAATCAGCGTATGTGGCACACCAATATCAGGCAAAGAGAATAAAAATATATCTGGTCTAGTACGAATAATAATAATACTTTTGTCATTCTTTTTATCGCTATGCATCAGAAATAGTTCTCTTATATAGGGAACAGAAAGTCCACTTTTCGGTAGATTTTGCTTTAAAATTGGTAGTTCGGTAGACCAGGACCAAAATAGGTAGATCTACTGAAAAATCGGTAGACATGGGAACACTGTATCTCGGTTTGGCGAAAATAGGTGGTACCTTTGCGTCTTGTGGAACTTCGGTTTTCACTGATGTTTCACTTGAAACTTATAGAGGGTAGTCTGATAGATTATTTTAGATAAAAAAAAGTGTGGATGAAGCACGCTTTTCATGAATTTTTTTCGCAAAACACTATTTTTTAGCAGTTATTTCCCTCATTATTTCCACCGCCATCTACCATATGACGTTGACGTCTGTGGATATGTCATATGAGGCGCTTGCCTGCGGTGTTGCCGGATTGGGCTCCGTATTTAGGAAAAAATATTATGAAAAGTGGAAAATTTATACACATTTATATTAATTAATGAAACATAAAAACAAAAAACTGAAACAAACAACAGTAGCAAAATTAAAAGCGATTCTTGGTAAGTATAAAACAAAAAATAACAAACAGCAGTAGAATAAAAAGAGATGTGATTATAAAAAACAAAAAATTAAAAACAGTAGTAAAACAAAAAAGCAATTCCATGTGATTATAAAAAACAAAAAATAACAAACAGTAAAATAAAATGTAATTTTGATGGAATGAAATTGTTTTTGGTTATACTACTGTTTTTACTTTTTGTTTTGTCAACTCTGTTATTTTTTGTTTTTTACGAAAATTACATGGAATTTGTTTTCCTACTGCTATTATTTTTTGTTATCACTTAGAATGCTTTTTGTTTTACTACTGTTTTTATTTTTTGTTTTTTATAATTATTTACAATTTATCATTTTTTAGCTTACTTTTGTAATTTTTTGATTTATACTTATTAGGAATCACCTTTTATTTTGCTACTGTTGTTTGTTTCAGTTTTTCGTTTTTGTGATTCATTAATTAATATATGTACACAAATTTTCCACTTTTCATATTTTCCCTAAATGCGGAGCCCAATCCGGCAACACCGCAGGCAAGTGCCTCTCCTATATGACATATGCACAGACGTCTACGTCATATGGCAGATAGCGGAAATAATGGTAGAAAAAACAGCTAAAAATAGAGTTTTGGGAAAAATGTTTCATGAAAAGCGTGCTTCATCCACACTTTTTTTGTTCCTAAATAATCTATCAGACGACCCTCTAGAAGTTTTAAGAGAAAAAGCAGTGAAATCCGAAGTTCTACAAGACGCAACAGCACCCAAATTGGTCACCAAGATCGTGCGACGTAACGCCAATGGACTTCTTCCTCTGGGGCTATGTGAAGGAAAAGGTGTATACAAACAAGCCACAAACAGTTGAACGCCTTAAAGAAGAGATACGGCGCGTTATGTGAGCGAAAACGTTATACAGAATTTCAAGAAAAGACTGACCGAGTGCCAAACGTTTCGTGGTGGCCATTTATCGGATGTCCTATTTCATGTTTAATCGCAACTATTCATCTTTATGTTGAAATATAAATACTCACTTAATTCGAAAAGAAATTGTGTTTTTCTTGAAAATCAAAGCCGGCGCTCTTATTGAGACACCTTTTATTTCCAAAATCGTTCAAAATTATACCTGCAGAGCGGATAAAGGTATCGATGCGAAATGGGTCCGTGTACTTTCATACTTCCCGCGAGAAATAGCAAGATAGTATTATAATTGCAATAAATTTCGAATATGAGGTAGTATGTTTTTTGAATACCTTATGACATACATCACGAAAAAACATGTCACTCATTTCCTTAGCTGCCCTATAACTTTGACAGTACCTGTCGGAATTGATGAAAATTTGACACACGTTAAAACTACGACAAGGATGAAAAACCTTTCCAGATTTTGAAAATCAATCCATTCATTCGAATTGAAATGTCCATTAGAAAAAACGCCAAGACAAAGTTTTTGCGATGAGGAATCATTCAAATGATTGTGCTCTTAGTTTATGTGTCCACTATGCAATCCATCAAATCTCATGGCATCGCCCCCACTACCACACCAGTTATGCAATGCCTTGTTGTGAACACCCATTTATCTTCTGGTCTCACTAACACGGACCATTATTGGCAGAACCCATAACAACAACGCTATATCGACTATGTCCCTGTTTGACGCATTGCCAGTATTGATGCATAGAACAAAAATGGTGTCATCAAAATAAAAAATGTCTAGAGGTTTGAAAATAGACGAAAATATTGCTATTGTTGAATACAAACGGTATTTTTGTCGTCTAGAGCAGTGTTTCTTAATAGAGGGTGGAGCAGAGGAGCTTGCTGATTTGAATTGGGCGCCCTAAAGTGACGGTTGCTCCGACGGAAGTGGGATGACAATGACTACATCACGCGGCGCGAAAACTTTACGGATCACTCTCTCGAATCTACCTATCCCCACTTCCGTCGGAGCAACCGTCACTTTAGGGTGCCCAATTCAAATCAGCAAGTTCCTCTGTCCCACCCTGAAAGTGCTCTACAAGCATGTTAGAGAATTGGAGTCTGCAGTCTCATATCTGGACCATTCCACAAAATGAATAAATTCCAACAAAAGTGTTGCAATTGTTATGCTTACTTACCACGGCGAATGTGCTAAAACCAATTTGTGGTGTGTAAACTGACGTGAGTAGAATAAGTGCGTGTGGGGGGCAGTGCTGCCAGATTAAAAAGCAAAGATCAAAATAAATAAACGTTACAGAACAAATGCCTTTGGTAGCAATTAATGCTGATAAAATTTATTTTTATTAAAAAACTGTAAATGTATTACTGCAGTTATAAAGCGTGGACTAACTGTGTATTGACGGGATATTGCTTCCAGATAGATTTTTTGAAGTAAACTGACTATGGGTCGTTGTCTAAAAACGAATTTTTAAAATATCCATAACTATACAGTTGTGTGAAGTTGCTTTTTTAATGGATTGTTATATTTTTTATTTATTTGGATTGACGTTTTAAAATAAGAAGATTGGTACGATCTTTGTTCAAGCCTTCAACAAGAAGGAAATTCGGGTATAAAGTGCAACATTTTGTAGAAATATTGTTACTAATCAATTGATGAACAAATTTTATTTAGCAAATATGTAAACACATCTACAGTTTATATGATCATGTCAAGTCATACAATTCTTACATATCCAGAGACCTATCATTTTTCAACCACTAACACTTTGTGGCAAGTACCATATGATGCCACTTCAATCTAATCCAGTTACTACAAAAGTACTCACCTCTTTGCTGCATATGGACTGACGCATGCCTCCTCAACTGTATCTTTCTGGAAAAAGATTTGGGGCAATGAGGACACTGGAAGATTTTCATCTCTCCCTCTTCATCTACTTCTGCTTCGATGCTGCTTCCTTCCTTGGCTTTGCCATCCTCATCCTCAGTAACAAGTTCCATAAGAATTACTGAACCGTCTTGGAGTGTGACTTCTACTTGAGTGGACTTTCCAGTGGATGGATTTATCTGTCAAAAATATATAAAAAATACAAGAATGATGAATTAGAACAGTCTATAAATGTGAAAATATAGTGCACCTACTTGTAAAAGCCATCTTAATTATTTTACTGCTATATTTAAAATACTTAAAAAAACACACAATGCTATAGAGTTTTGGGTATTAAATTATAAGGTATCTTTCACCTGGAGAAAATCGGATTTTAATGAGCTAAAATACTTTTTTACATCCAATTTTTAAAGATGCAGTTTATTCCTCGTTTTTCTGTAGGTATATTGGAAAAAACGTATTCAAATAATTATGTTCCGTCGGTGGAATCAGCCAATAGGATTAGACTTTTAATTTTCATGTCCAAGTCAGAGAATAATGTTACTTTGCTCACATCTAATGCTATGTTCTCACGGAGCGTGGGACGCTAGCCTGATCCTTGCATACGTGCAATTTAGCAAGAAAGAGCATAAAGAAAACTGGAAACAGAAACTACTGTTTGGAGGCAAAATATTGATTTTCGTTAAAATAAATATTTTGAAAATACCCTTCTGTATTACAAAAAAATTTACTTTGGGGCAGATCAATTTATTAAATAATAGCTTAATCTAATGACTAAGCTCACCCACTGTTCAAAGAAGTGGTGAAATTGTATAAATTCATATTTTCTGCTTCACAGATGGTAAACAATCACATACTGCTACTAATTTGCAATACTCAGTGGCTACTTCTCAAAAGCAAAGAGTTAAAATGAAGTGTGATCTTGTGTTGGATGTTACTGCATATTTTATACACTTCAAGGCTTTGCTCTATACTCACTTTCATTTGCAATTGTCCTGCAAGGCTGATATCAGTTTGTGCAGCTAGAGTAGCTTTAACAGCATCAGCTATGGCATTCATATCTTCATTGAGAACACTCTGACTTTCATTAATTACAAATGTATGTTCTTCTGTTTCAAAATCTTCCTCAGTCTTAACATTTGAGCTATCTTTCAGTGTACAGGCCTCTTTGATAGTTTCATCTTGCTCAAGTGGCAAGGTTATACTTTCAGGTTGTACATTTTCCTGCTCCTGATCTGTCTGGATATAAGTTACTTTAGTGACTCCTGCAAAATAATTTTGACAGTAATTTTTAACTGTAAAAAGCTTGCTAATGGTTATGACAACCACATTTCCACTAAGGGTTTAAAGACCTAAGAACAGGAGCGAATCTAAGATGATGCACTGTGCATTGGGCCCCCGGGACTCAAGAGAGCCACAAAATTCAGCTTACGGTGCTGCAGAGCTGATAAAATTTGTGTTTCCGAAATTATGATGCTATGATAAATCCAGACAGAAACATCTATTGTACAGTAATTACTCAATTATATAAAAAATAAGCTTAACTGCACATTTTTTAACACCCATTTGAATATACTCCAAAAGATGTTAATTTGGGAGAAATATAACTTCTATAAAGATATTATATTTTGAAAAAGACAAACATTCCTGATAGCAAATCTGGAACTAATTCTAACACTCACCAACTAAATCTTCTTCAGTACTAGGTTCAACTTCATCTTTGTCAAGTTTTTCTTGTTCCTCAGAGTTTTCTCGAGTGTCCATCAGTTCCTCTTCTTCACAACTGGATTCTCTCAATTCCTTTAAGTGCACTCTAAGCTTCATGTCAGACTGCTCACATTTTTTGCGAAAATTGTAAGATTTTTCCAACTGGAATTTGCAAGGATTGCATATTTTGTCTGGAAGACCATCTCCTTCAAAAACCTAAAAATAATTTTACGATTTTTCATTTCTAAATAAGTGCTTGTTACAAACTTACTGTTTATTACTGATATTAAAGAGATAGAGAGCCATGGCTGCAAGAAAGCATGGAAGCTGCATTGAAATAATTATTTTTTAGTAGTAGTAATGCGATTTTTAAGAAAGAGCCTAGTGACAGTCTTTGATATGAGTACTACACTAACAAGTACAAAAATGGTATACTGGAGTGCCTATGGAATTTCCATAATTGGAGTACAGTTACAATGAATGAAATTTACACAAATTGGATAGTAAACGACACATGAAAAGTTAAATTATTGAAAAAATGGGATGTATTCTACAGAGTCAATAAAGATATTAACTCAACATTTTGCACATAATTATTAATAATAAAATTTATTTACATGTATGTATAAAGTAAATAAATATCTAACTTCACATGAAGCAATGCCTGTGTATAGGTCATTACAATTATTTAAACCATTGTATGAATACATAATTATTTAAATAATATTAGTTTGTGAAAGCAATATACATATAAATTGCTATATTCAGTAAGTGAAATAGATTCATTAAGCCAATAACATTTTACCACAAATGTATTACATTTTTAAATAAAGTATATTCAATTGGACATGAACTATTAGCTTGAAAGTTTCTCCATTCAAAGATTTGTTTGTCTCTTGATTAATAATAAGGTAGGTACATTTTGCAAGAATACGTTTGCAGCTTTGGGAGTGGTGGGGGGAGGGAGGTGGCGGTATACATTGGCGCTCCCAAGTGGGGCAGGTAGTAAAGGGGGTAATGACCCCCTCCCCCTTGAGACAACTCGAGCTGTCTTTGAATAAAATGAATGAACACACAAAAATAAACTGTAACTTCAATAAGGGATGCACTGACAACCCATTCTGACATTCTAAGCATATGTGACTACTCTTTCACCATCAGTGTATCTCTGTATGCTATGATAAGCATAGATCCCACATTCCAGATTGTTCATTCCACATTCACTTACAGTTTAGTTTCAGTCTGAAATCATAATCAAGTACCATCAAGACTCTCAAGTTTCAGTAGCAGTGGTTGGTTTTAATGTTAAGATTTTACATTATCTATTGATTGTCTTTTTACTTCCTCACATAAACTAGAAAAGTATTGTACTCTAGCTAATAAAATTGAGTTTTTTTTAAATGCTTGGAATGTCATAATGACAAACATCTAGGTTTTTGATCGGACGGCCCATTTCTCAGCGTTTTCAGTAACTTTGTGCAATCTCGCAATCAGGTGAACGAATTTTGTGGGAGCTATTTTCTAAGAGATCATTAAAGATTATGCTGCTATATTTTTGAGCAGTAGCAGAATTATGAAAATGAAATCAAGGAATTGGCAAAATATTTCCCAATTTCAATATATATATGTCTTTTCACTATATGATAATTTTAGGTATAGTGTTTTTTTTTTTGAGGAAAAATATCAGTTAGTTTAAACTGCATGCATACTCGAAAACATTGAAACTCATTATTTTGACTGCACATACTATTCATCAGAGCGGTCTGTTGGACCTTTGCTCTTAGTTAAAAGTCTCGTCGGTCTGTTAGCCTGTCAGGTCTGGCTACCCAGATACCAAACATGTTTAAGAGGAGTTTTGACTGCAATACTTATTCTTTTTTGTCATGTCAGTGTGCTCTTTAAAGAAATGAGCATAGCAGTGACATAAATACATACAAGTATATCTGAAATCTAAAATGCACTAAATTTTCAAGTATCAAATGTCTTAGGAACTATTAAACCTATATCAAAAAAATTGAAAACTTGTAACACAAAGCTGGTCGAACAACAAAAAATCATGTCCGAAGACGTTTCTTTTACCTCTTCTATTTTTTTAAAGTCCAATCATGAAAACTTTTGTGTATTTTGATTGTGCATCATCTGCTCTTAATTAGAATTTTTCTCTATATTCGAATATTTCATTATTTAAGTTTTCAAGGGCTAATAAGTTTATTTCATTAAAATTTTGCTAAATTTTACTGACAATATAATTGTTTTCAACATTTTTTAGTACTTATGATATTTTAACAAGCGAAATGATTGGAGATGAGAAATGTTTAAAAAAAATTACAGTATCCAAAAACGTTTACATAGGGAAAAAATGAACAATGAAGTTCAGTTTCATTCACGAAAAGACCTTGGTCCATATCATTTCACTGTGTCCACTTCCTTTCTGTATTCAGTGTATGTATATCAATATTTAAATAGATTTTGTTGGAGTCCTACACATACTCTCATACATATTGTAACAGCTTCCAGGAATTATCCTATTAGCAACTAAAACATTTTTTAAAATATGTAAAAAATAGTTTTTTCAATAGTTGTTGAAAACTGCACAAAACTGTAAGAAATTCCATGTTTTATGGATAGAAAGGTGTTCTTTGATATGAGAAATGTGAATGCACTGAGGCCATCTATTAGAGCTAATTGATGTAATTTTAGTATTAGTTGTCATCTGTTCTTGTGTGTCCACTTTTGTAGTTGCATGTGTACATTCATTTCGGGCCTGATGAAGCCAACCAGCAGAAATACGTATCGCTCAGGTTACCTATCCTATTTTCTTCTCGAATCCACTTTCATCCTTTTTGCAGATTTTGCTCATTATTTTCCTACTTATTGTTTTATATAAATATATAATGTTTTGGGGTGGGCATTAATCCTGCATGGCCTTTCAAATTTCCTTATCCAACACAGTTAAGAAACAATAAAGAAAATTATATGTATAAAAAAAAAACACTTTCTTAGATCTCATATCTTTTTGTGTTTTGTACAATATTGCCCAGTGATTCAAAATTTGGAAAGAGTATTTTAGGATAATTGAAATCCTCGAAACGCCAATGGCTTTTTTGATCATTGTTCTGGTTTCTTATGAATTTATATCAAACTAAAAGCTATCGACAAGTCCGTCTCTGTTTTTTATCTTTTGATGACGGCGCCATCTATTCGTTGTGAATGAAACGTCATTATTTTATGAACTGCTCAAAAACAATTTGTGGAATATTGGAGCATACGAAATTAATAAATCCGCCAATGAAGAAGTATTATACCTCATGTACATTACAATTTGAATTACAAAATTACCGTGTAAAATTCCAACATTGTGTAGGGTATCAAGAAAAATAGTCTAACCAATCTGTACCCTGCTGTATAAATGATTGTAAAACCTACTTCTAGTGCAACACAGGCCATGATTCTCAGAGTCAGTGGTATAGAATCCTCACTACTAAAAATGGGTATCAATTCATCCTCCTTTCCCATACAAAGCCTACAAATATCGTTGAGGTCTATGATTTCTTCATCTCCTTCAGATTTCTTCCTGCTGTAGGTTTTCATGCCGACTTCGAGGAACAGATGCACGTCACGACGGTAAATTAGGTACCTATTTTAACAGAGACGCAGGGACCAAGCACTACTTTATCAACGATTTCGTCACGACTGCAGAAAATGGCGACAACACGTAACGACAATCGACACTGACTCACTGACAGACAGAGAACGCTACCGAAGCAACACACAGCGCAAGCGCAGGTTCCTGCATTACCGAGCAAGTCACCAGGGACAGGGGCACCAGCTCTGAGGCGCCACCGTCTAGAGAGTGTGCACGGAATTGCGGATACTCATATATACCCAGAGATAAACCTAAGATACCGTAATTCCTTGAATCCTAATTTTTCGTAGGCATAAACTAGATACCTAAAAAATAACACGAAAAGTTCATATTTAAGCATGGGCCGAAACCAAAATTCCACGATCTGGCTTAGCGGGTGATATCTCAGATCGGGCCAAAATTTTGTCCAGGAACTTAGTGAAATTTTAGATTTCTAGGTTAAACGTTTCGCTCTCGAGACGCGTTCAACGTTTCAAGAGTCGGAAAAAGCTTTTTTGGACACATATGTTAATTGTCTCGCTACTCCCACCATGGGCGCCCGCCAGAAATTTTCTCTACAGGCGCACCTTGTCATTGGAAGGCATTAGACCCCAATGTGTGACTATTCCGCTGTGGCATCAGAAAAATAAAAAAAAAACGATCTCGATTTCGCACAGATAATGCCTCAGGTAAATTTCAGTCAAAAATATGTTTGGGGGGTGTGGGGAGGCGACCTTAGGCAAGATATAACTTGTTGTAAAAGTGTACTTGCTCTAAAACTTAGCAAATTTTCTCAGGGGGACTAAATCCTAAAGTTCCTATAATTGTACATACAATCATGCTAAATATGGAAATTTTAAAGTACAGGGGGGGGGCACGGCCCCCATGGCTCCTTAGTGAGGACAAGTATAGCTGACAATTCGAATGCTTTCCGAATCAAAAATTCCATGCCAGTTTCGTAGGAAGTATTGTAATCACGGAAATTTTAGAAAAAGAGATATAATGATTTTTAGATGTTATGTGACATGTACGTACATCATGAGAGCCATGTCACTCATTTTCGTCGGTCGGTCCGCTAAATCCTTGGTCCGTCTGTACCTTGGAAATACCGTTCGGATTTGGATGAAATTTTCTCACATGGTTTCTACTATGTCAATAACGGAAAAGTTTTATAGTTTTTGAAAAGCGGTCCAGTGGCGGCGAATGTAGGTGTTCCGCAAAAAAATAAATATCACTCAAACTTCGTTTTTTGGCGTTTCACAGGCATTATTTTTGGAAAAAAAAATTTAGGGTTATAAATAAGTTTTATGTTTGAAAAGAACTTCTTTTTCAAAATCTCTAATAAGATTTGGACCGCGTTATGCATTACTTGACCAAGCGACAAATCTCTGTTTTTCAGGAGGATGAATAAACTTTAACAATTCATTATAAATCAATGCAACGATTGTGTTGAATGATTTTTGTTCTGTGAATAGAAAATGATATTACAAATTTATGCATGCAATCATTTTTTCAAACACTCTTATACCTGAAACTTAATGAAATGAAATGGCGCTTGGTTAAGTATTGCTTTCAAAAAGAATGCTCATTTTTCATTTGACTTAATGACCTCAACCCAAAAATGTTACTTGGTCATGCTATGCAAAATAAGGAACGCATTACAGAAATATTCATCATTTTTGTATTTTAGTAATTAGCATCAAATTCATTGAAAAATTAAAACTACACAAATTAAAACATTCTCGAAACTAAATAAGAAATTGCTTGAATGACAAATGTAATAAACTCAATTATATACTGTTTCAAAAATAAAATGAAGCAAGAAGAAACCACACATTTTCAAAATGAATCAAGAAGCTGAATCGAAAATTTGTATTATTCCTCCTCAAGCTCGAAATCTGGTTGACCATTGACCCACCTATATCTTCCTCAATACTTGAACTGCCAACTAGATTCCTATAGAACTTCTTGGAATCCTTGGGTATAAGACTTAATAATGATTTTAAATCGTCTATTTTGCTATTGGTTTCCCATTTGGCCACAGTTTTTCGAGGGCTTTACCAAGCAACGCTACAATCGAAACATTCGATGGTCTGCCAATATTGGTCACTTTATGCAAAACTTTGGTATTGCAAATGCCTACTCTACACAAAATCTGGTCGTTTGGTCATGTGTTGCAAAATAAATAGCATCAAATATTACACTTGGCGCTTAGTTAAAAATGTTTTCGCTTTTGAACCTCAGGTCCCTATGCTGCCTGCAATTTTTTATAGGTGAGTTGAACTACTGCGTATCACATGGCGGCAAAATCTGGAAATTTATCAAATGGCGCTTGGTCAAGTTATGCATAACGCGGTCCATTTTATTCACCCAAAGACGTACAGGAATCGAATTGTTCTTCCATCATATTTTTACAGAAGGTATTCATATAAAGATACAAAGGAATGCTATTTTTTAGCTTAGAGTGCAAACAAAAACATATCTCAAAATTTCTCAGATAAAGGTAACATGCAAAACGTATAGCGTTAAGTGGGGCATGCTAGCATGTCAACGACATTAAGAGGGGTAGCTGCTCTCTTAACTTCTCCCTCTTTTAAAACGATCTTTCCAGGATCGGAAGGATTTTATACAATACTAATGTGACTATGATAATAAGTATTACATACAATTCCATAATCTGAACCTAATAGCTGAATATGTAAATTCGTCCAGTTAGTACGTAAGGCAAGTAATATTGTCATCCAGATGTAAAGGGAGTCCAATTACTTTTTGTAGGCTTTGTAGGTTTTTAAATGTGATTATGGGGTTTATTCAGTATGTATAAAGTTTGATGTTTTATCTGCTGGATTTTCGGCGCTAGTGCCCGGTTGGCAATCCTGAAGAGAACAAAGTTTTCTGGTTTTTACTCTGCGTAGCATGTGACTCCTAACTTGATTTTCATCGGGGACCTCAACCTGATACTCTTTTTGAATGTAATCAGTGCGTTTCTGGTACATTGGAGTAACCTTACCACAAAATCGGTTCCCTGGATGTTTAATATGAATAGGACCTTGTAAGACGGGGATCTGACTTGTGCGTTTAGCGTTATTCTTGTCACGTGCTTTGCTTGTTTTCTGAATTTTCTATGCCTTTAGTGCGAATAGGCGTGAGTTTGTTCCGTTGAGTTTCCAAATGAGTTTCATAGATTTGGGAGTCATTTTCTTTTTTGGTGATACCATAAATTAGATCGAAGGGGGCGAATCTAGTAATAGAATTAATACTTTGGTTATAAATAAGCAATGCATCGGTAATTAAATCTGAAGTTAGTTCAGTAGGCGATTTTAATTTTAAGGTTCTTAGTTTTTCAGACAACGTAGAATAGAATCGTTCAATAGGCGAACAAGAAGAGGGGTTGGCTGTACTACCAATATGAAATTTAATAGCATGGGCTAGACAATAATCTTTAATTACGGTTGAATTTAATTCACCTGGATCAGCAGTGATTTCTCTCGGAATATTATTGTTGGAGAAATAATGTTTGAGTTTTTTCAAAACCTCAATGCTGTTACGAGACTGAATTAGATATGCTCGAGCATAACGACTGAAAGAGTCAATAATAGTAAGAAATTGAAATTTATCTATTTTGTAAACATCAACAAAGATGTGTTCTGATGCACTTTTGGCTAAGAAAGGGCCTTGTCGTTCAACATTTGGAGGGTGACGTTCGTATTTGCTCAAGAGACATAGATCACATCTGTTAATGTAGTCGGTAATTAGGCGTCTAAAGTTAGGAGTGAAAATCATTTTTCTAAAATGTTCGTGGGTTTCGTTGATTCGATTGTGCGTCTGGGAGTGATATAAAGAAATTTCAGTGAGGGCCTTATCTTTGTCTAAATACATGGGCTTATATGCGGCTTTAGTTAAAGTCATTTGTTTGTAAAAAAAAAATAATTGATTAAAACGCGATTAAGTCAAATAATAATAGTATACTCTGTGTAGAAGATAACATAATGAGTATTGGGGTGACAATCTTTTAGCAAAAACAACAGGTGAGTATGTTCACGTCCGCGTACTATGGTACATCTGATAGTATTATTCGGGAGAGTCTTAACGTCGAATACTTTTCCATAAATTATGTCGATACGATGCTTAAAATGATAAAAGTTCTTATCTTCGGAAAATTTTATGTTAACGGGATTCTCAGGCGTTGAATGAAGCCTGTGCGTGGAGCGCGCGTCGGTGACATCATAGTTACGTGTTTGAAGAATTTCTTGAAGTTCATCATCGCTGAGCGTCGGGTTTTCGGCGACATGCGCTAATGTAGATAAGAGATCGTCGCGCGTCGGCTAAATAATTCCCTTTGCCTTTTCTGTATCAGATATCGAAATCAAATTCCTCAAGTTTCAAGGCGGCTCTGACGCAGTGAGTTTCAAGCCATTTACAAGGGTTCAGCTGCTTCGAAACTGACACTCCATTTTTCAATATTTTTGAATGAAATTCATACAGTATGTTGAGAAGATAATTGCCCAGGGTGCTATAGGAGCACTTTTTCAAATTTTCTTTTTGCACAAGTTTTATGATAGGTTGAAGTGCGCACTTTTTCTGCTCAATTTCGCGATTTTTTTAAAAAGAACCTAGTGAAAATCACTGAAAATGTGGCTTTATAGCTCCCTGTGGGGTTTTGTTTTCAGCACATTGTGAAAATTTCATCCAAAAATATCAAAAATAAAGCGTTGCGGCACAATGTACGGACTAAGAAAGGATGTATTCAGATAATTTGGTGACCCTATTTCATATAATATCGCGTAGATAAGTCGTTCTGCAAATAGATACTCATAATCGCGATCGCTGATACTCCTCGATTTTAAAGCCATTTTACTTCCCACGCCATTGGCGAGGAAGTATTGTAATCGTGAACAATTTCTAAAATGAGATGTTATGTTGTCATATGACATCTACATCACGAAAAACTGTATCACTCATCATCAACTTGGAAGTTACCGCTCGGATTTTTATGAAATTTCCACACGGAGTTACTAGTATGCCAAAGCTTTGTAGTTTTAGTCCAGTGGTAAAGGTGCTATAGGCAAAAAAGAAAAAGTAACAATTGCTGAAACTACGTTTTTGACGTTTCAGGGGTTCCTAATCATTGACATAAAAACATTGGACTGCTTAAAAAGGGGGGGTTGAAATCAGTGAAACACGTTCTATTATTAAGAAGCTTCTGATCCCTGTGGTTACAGGAAATTTAAGAAACGAAAATTCGACGAATAATGTGCTCACGATTTGAAAAAATCGGTACCTGCTCTATAGGTTTGACACCAAGAGCCAACAGATCTGCAACTACCGACAGTAGGGAAGAATAAATTCGGATATCACTGCAGTCAAGTATAGGGGAATTTAGCGTGGAACTTTAAAATTATCGATATGTCAAGGAAATATGTTTTTGAGAATGATAATTTGGTAATTTTATACCTGCATTTTGATTTGAATTTCATGACCCGT